CGACAGATAAAATATTACTTCAATCAATTATATTATAGCTGGTTAATTCTCCTGTCAGTGTGAGCACACATGTGCTCCGTAGCAGGTCCTTCCAGAAGTAAAGTCTGGGATTTATACTAGACGATATGAAGCCCTCGCGTGTGAAATACGGAGTGATATGCAAGTGTAAAGCATGTGCCCTAGTGCATGTGCACTAGTGTCACGCCCTACCCAGGCTGTGGCGAAAAGGCTAAAGGATATGATTTGATTCCCGCCCGGGAACCAAGGGAGGAATTCACGATAGAACGAAGGTCAAAGAAGGGGAAATTGCACAGTTGGAGACAGGCGGACCTCCTGAGGGTGCTGACCGACGCGCAATTGGCAGCGAAAGATTTGACCTCGGCGATCTAGCATGGCTCACTCTTGGCGCGGTTGGCGGGGTACGCCCACCGACTATCTAATCACTCGCCGCAGGTCTATACGTGGCGAGTGATTAGATAGCAGAGAGAGCGTAGTGTTGAAGAGGGCACAGCGATGAGAGTCGCATCAATGCGCAAATCAACGGGCAAGGAAGGGTTCCATTTCTCGGGTTTCGGGCCGTTCCCAACCACAAACACCTTCACTATCAATGACTTTCAGCCAAGTCGTCAACACCTTGAAGATCCTTATATTTCAGAATTTAGAGAACTGATAACAGAAAAAGCCAGCTGCCTGCTCCAATCAATAGTTGTTGTTGCTTTTTCTCCAAAAATGTTTCTCCTGTAATTGTTATTCAAGGGCTCAAATAAAGACGGTCGGGAGCCCGGGACAAAGGATTGGAACGAACTCGTTAGTGCTTGCTAGGCTCCTAGAGTTTTTAAAGGGTGATCTTCACCACGAGGAAGCGAGCATTTTCTTTTTAAAGCATCTTAAAGTTGTGGCTACTTCTGGAGAATGGCATCAGCCATATTCTGTAGGTGCTCGAAGAAATCGTAACTGGCACAGCGGATACACTTTCGTATGTACAGTGCGCGTCAATTGTATATGCCACCCCCTGATTTTTTCAGTTTTCTGACTTATTTGGAAATTTCGTAAATCGGCATAGCAACCATCGTTTTCGGCGTGTCGGAAAACTAGAATGGTGTTGTTTGATTTTGGTTAACGCGTGGATTTGAATTGCTCTGTTCTTTTGAAGAAAATGGGCCGCGTCAATTGCTTATGCCATCCTAAAGTTTCTTCAGAATTTCTCATGTCTCTAACGCTATTCAGGTGTGCATGTAGTACAAATGAGGAAATCCTCCACTTATGCAATGCACACAAATGGTGGAGCATTTATAACTAATTAGTTCGGAATATTAGCCC